CTATTCCCTATACAGGGAAACCAAAGCCTGTAATATGCACTCTCTATGCTTCTAAGCATGCCTGGCCCCCAAATGCACAAAGGAAACCCCCTTTCATCCTATCACACTACTGCTACTAGAAACTGGACAGAGATGACTGACAAGAGGCTGCAGTCCCTCCCAGAAAATGATAGATGACTCAAACTATTGCAACCCGAGCAGACTGCAGAATAGTGGTGACCCCGGACTGGTTTGTACTTGGTATTTATTAATTGAATTATTGGGGGGGAAAAATACTTTGTAGTAAAGGAATTATTTAAAAAGGGATACTTTGTTTTGGGGATTTTTGGTACCTTTTTCAGCATTTAATTTTCAGTAAGGCGACGTCATCAGCTGTGCCTATATATCGAGCGAACCATTTAATCGAGCATTTTTTGGAAATCTGCCCTTCGCTTTTCAGAGAGGTCAAAAAGCCTCGTAATTGAAAGTAGTGAATCCAGCGTCCATGTGCAGGGGGCAGATCAGAAGTCATGAGAGAGGTCAAAGAGCACCATGAAGAGCTTCAGTTATTGGGGGAAGACGATCATAAGTCCATTTAAGGAAGGATGGGCCAGTTAGCCGTGGGAGGGCAGGGGGGCATAGAGTGTTGCCAAGGTCAGGGGTCTCTGACCCGAAGTAAAAATCCAATCTAGAAATGATGCCCGAGGCTTTAAGAACCGGAGGAATGCCAATGGGAAGGGTTGGACTGCAAGAGCAAGAATGGGGTGGAATCTACGGGAGAGAGGTCAAGGGTAGGGGAGGCTGGGAGTGTTCTATGGAGATCTAGTTTATCTTTGTGATGATGGATCCAGTTAAGGAAGTGAGTCAATATGCGTACTTTATAATAACGTTCCAAATGAGAAACGCCCACTCTTCCCCTAAGATCTCATAGCGTAGTCGAGAAGGGGCGTGTTGCCCTAATATATTCAGTATATCAATTTTTAAAGAATGAATGAAGAATTTTGGGATCAGAATTGGTAAAGCCTGGAAGGCATACAGGATGTTCATTTTGAAGACCATGCTACTAAAACATGAGTGTCTCCTAGAGGACCAGCTTCAGAGCAGGCCATGAGTGTGTCCTAAAGGACCATCTTCAGAGCAGGCCATGAGTGTGTCCTAAAGGACCAGCTTCAGAGCAGGCCATGAGTGTCTCCAGGAGGACCATCTTCAGAGCAGGCCATGAGTATGTTCTAGAGGACCAGCTTCTGAGCAGGCCTTGAGTGTCTCCTAGAGGACCAGCTTCAGACCAGGCCATGAATGTCTACTAGAGGACCAGCGTAGGCAATGAGTGTATCCTAGAGGAGCAGATTCAGAGCAGGTCATGAGTGTCTCCAAGAGGACCAGCTTTGGAGCAGGCCATGAGTGTCTCCTAGAGGACCAGCTTCAGAGTAGGCAATGAGTGTCTCCTAGAGGACCAGCATCAGAACCAGGCCATGAGCGTCTCCTAGAGGACCAGCCTCAGACCAGACCATGAGTGTCTACTAGAGGACCAGCTTCAGAGTAGGCAATGAGTGTATCCTAGAGGAGTAGATTCAGAGCAGGCCATGAGTGTCTCCTAGAGGACCAGCTTCGGAGTAGGCCATGAGTGTCTCCTAGAGGACCAGCTTTAGACCAGGCCATGAGTACGTCCTAGAGGACCAGCTTCAAAGCAGGCCATGAGTGTCTCCTAGAGGACCAGCTTCCGAGCAGGCTATAAGTATGTTATAGAGGACCAGCTTCTGAACAGGCCATGAGTGTCTCCTAGAGGTCCAGCTTCAGAGTAGGCAATGAGTGTCTCCTAGGGGACCAGCTTCAGAGCCAGGCAAGGGTAGAACATTTTAGAAACTGGTTGAAATGTGAACTCCTAGGTATTTGATGACATTAGGGGCCAATTGGAATGGAAAGTTGGTTTTGAGGAGCTGCCGGTCGCCTAAAGGTAAGGAGATATCAAGTCCAATGGATTTATGATTATTGACCAAACATTTCAAATTCCTGGAGGATCGATGCTAATTTGGTGTTTGAAACATAAGTAAGTAAATCATCTGCATATAAACCTAGTTTATGGTGACGGTTACCAAGCATTATAAGTATTATGGTGAGGAACGTTAGCCAAGTGTTCCGTCATGAGGATCTAAAGGTATGAGGATAGTGGGCATCCCTGGTGCGTGCCGTTATTAATGTGGACAGGTTCCTATAGGGAGCCATTTACCCGGCAGTCATAGAGGGCCCTAAGACTAGCATCTCAAGCGTAGCTTAGCAATGCAGCTATGGAAAATGGGGATGGTGTCACTCTCCTCCTACTCCTCACAGAAGTAATGCTGGTCATGCCATACCACGGTGGGAACCAAGCTTCATAAGAGGTGGCAATCAACCCCCCACCGCCTTCCTTTCCCATACACAACCATTGGAAGAACATCTTTCATATATACAAGGTGGTGAATGACTGGGACTTCCATGCGCCTCCAGACTTGCTCTTCTCTGCCTTCTACCAGAATCCATCTCTAAAGCCAAAAAGGGTCTCCTCAGATTTTTCATGAAGGTCTCAATCCTATGCCACTGGAAATCCTCCAACAAGAATTTACGCATATCCAGCACATGGAAGAGCTCCTCGCATCTCCTCATGATCCGTATTCCAATTATATGACTGCACGGAGCGTCTGGATTGCTTTAATGAGTTCTGAATGTCTCTAAAGGTTCATATCACCCACTACATTGGACACCAATCCCCTCCCCCCCTTCCCACTTGGGCTCTACCTTTATTCTTTCCATTTCTGCACTTACGACCTCTACCCATTTTTTTCTGTTACTTTCAAACTTTCCCAACTATGTTCCCCTTCCCTACCAAGTTTTTTGGCTCATCAATGGTCAATGATATGACTACATGGAACGCCTGGATCGTTTCATTGGGTTCTGCACAGGTCTGAAACCTTTGACCTTCTTAACGTCACCCACTACATGGGGCCCCAATTCACACCCTCCACCATTGGGCTCCACCTTTTGTCCTTCAAGTTTCCCCACTCATGACCTCTACCCATTTTTTCTGTTACTTTCAAACCTTCCCAACTATATTCCCCTTCACTACTAGGTTTTTAGGCTCATCATTGGTCAGTGATATGACTATGTGGACCACCTGGATCGTTTCATCGGGTTCTGCACATCTCCGAAACCTTTGGCCTTCTTAACGTCCCTCCTTCCTCCAGGGTGCTCTACCTGTGTTCTTTGAGTTTCCCCACTTATTACCCCGTCCCATTTTTCCAGTTACTTTCAAACCTTCCCAACTATGTTTCCCTCCCTTACTAATATATTTGGCTCATCATTGGTCAATGATATGACTACGTGGACCACCTGGGCCGTTTCATTGGGTTCTGCACATGTCCGAAACCTTTGACCTTCTTAACAGCGCCCACTACAAGGGACCCCAATTCACACCCTCCACCATTGGGCTCTACCCTATGTCCTTCGACTTTCTCCACTGACGACCTCTACCCATTTTTCCCGTTACTTTCCACCCTTCCCAACTACATTTTTTTGGCTCATTATTGGACAGTGCTATGACTATGTGGACCACCTCAGAGTATTCATGGTCCTTGGGCAGACAGATGCACCCAAAGCACCTGCTTCTAGAGCTGCAACAGTTATTCGATTAATTTCGACGATGGAAAACGTTGTCAACGTTTTCCATCGTCAATTCATCGGCTAAAATTCAAATTTCCCGCTCGCTGCTGCTTACGCCCGCCGCTTACGCCACGCCCACGTCGTTTAAGCCGCTCGCGCCTACACCGGTATACCCGCTCACGCGACGCCGCTTACGCCACGCACACGCTGAGGACATGTGTCTGGCCCTCTCCTCCCGTTTGCACCAGATCTTTCTCAGCAATGGTCACATGACCCAACTGAAGAACCCCCCCACCCCCTCCCAATTCTGAACTGCCTGGTCTGGTGAGTTGACATTTTGGAAATCATTCTGTAATGGGTTCCCAAGGCTGAACTTGCGAGCGGAGTAACAGACTGTAGACAGCCGCTGAGGGGTGACCACGGACCTTACAGTCCAAACCAACCAACAGCTATATACTAAGCCCCTGACCTCCCCCGTCCTCCTCCCCAACCCAGGCGAGGCCGATGTCCTTCAGCATTCTCGCACAATCCTCTGAATACCGAAAAATTGTTATCAATGCTTACCAAAATTTTCCATTACTAGACGCCAGTGGCGTCACAAGGGGGGGTGCGGCCCGCACCCGGGTGACACCGAAATGACCGACAGTCATTTTGGTGTCACCCCCCTCTGAAAAGTCAGGCGCTCGGTCATGGACCGAACGCCCGACAGTATCAGGAGAGGACCCGGCGGCTTACCTCATCCCGCCGGGTGACTGTCCCCTCCTCTCTCTGCCGGCGTCCATCACCAAGATGGCAGCCGGCAGGTATCAGAAGACTGACGCGCGTGCACTCGGTTACCGCTCCGGGTGTCACCCAGCCTCGTGACGCCCCTGCTGGATGCTCATCATTTTAAAACTGATTACTCTCAATTCACTGTAAACTTGCATCTCTGCAATATAACCCTTTGAAGCTGCAGCTGCTATCTTGAGCCCGCCTTCACTTCCTGTCTGACTGACTTCAACCATCTTCAATCCTCTCCTGATCCGTACAGTCTTTTAGACATGCATTGGCCACTGCAGACCGTAGCTGTGCGGCCTGCTAATCAGTTGCTTGTAGCTGTGCACTCTGCTGATCAGCTGCTTGCTCACACTTTATGAACGCGGAATCAAGCAACTGAGCAGCAGACTGCACAACTACAAGCAACTGATCAGCAGATTGCACAGCTAAAGTCAGCCAAAGATGTTTTCTTTCATATAATGCTGGAGGTTACAGTAGCCCCTCCCACCAAATCTTACTACGGCGCAAAGGCCAGCGGACAGACCCAATAATCACGTGACCGGGTCCCCAAATTATTTAATACATTTATTTTGTGAGAGACAACCAATCCAATACAACACTCGGGGTCCACGTCTGTTCAGCTCCCCGACAAGGGAATATTTTCATGCAGGTATTGCAAAGCCAGGTCTGCCCATTTCATTTCCTGCTCTTTGACGGACTCCACTGCCCCGCCGTTGTCGTGCTCAGGCTCTGGAAGTTCATTCTGTGAGGGGGGAGAAAAAAAATAAATGGAATATTTCTTCCCATTCTTCGTGTTGGGGTGCCCACAGCTCTGTAAGCATGCAAAGACTGGAGTAGCTGCCCTAGGGTGACAACGCTCAATGCATTGCATGTATGGAGGAACAGCGTTGTCACCCCGGGACAGGAAGTGCATCACGACACCTCCCACTAATCTCCATAACACAGGGAAGGTGTTCTGTAGCCCACAGAGGTAGCTGGGAACAATGTAACAGAAAAGAATGTAGTACAGGAAGGTCCACAGAGCGCACGAGGCAGCGGAAGTTTCCACTTACCAGCGGGACGGTCACATCCTCGTACGGCAACTTGTCTTCCTTCCAGGCGTCGTCTACTAAATCTAAAATCCGCCCGTCCTTCTGAATCTCGCTGTCCATCGCAGGTCTGAGGGGACAATCTGAAATTACACAGAACATATCGCTTACACCGATCCCCAGAAATGCCCCCCTCCCCCCGGCTCACAGGAAGTGGGATGGATGACCCTGTGCATCATTCTATCCAGGGGTTGTGGGGGTGGAGCCCTGACCCCCTAGGCCCACAGGAAGTGGGATGCATGACCCTGTGCATTCTATCCAGGGGTGGGGGGGTGGAGCCATGACACCTTAGGCCCACAGGAAGTGGAATGAATGAACCTGTGTAGCATTCTATCCAGGGGTTGTGGGGGTGGAGCCCTGACCCCCTAGGCCCACAGGAAGTGGGATGCATGACCCTGTGCATTCTATCCAGGGGTGGGGGGGTGGAGCCATGACACCTTAGGCCCACAGGAAGTGGAATGAATGAACCTGTGTAGCATTCTATCCAGGGGTTGTGGGGGTGGAGCCCTGACCCCCTAGGCCCACAGGAAGTGGGATGCATGACCCTGTGCATTCTATCCAGGGGTGGGGGGGTGGAGCCATGACACCTTAGGCCCACAGGAAGTGGAATGAATGAACCTGTGTAGCATTCTATCCAGGGGTTGTGGGGGTGGAGCCCTGACCCCCTAGGCCCACAGGAAGTGGGATGCATGACCCTGTGCATTCTATCCAGGGGTGGGGGGGTGGAGCCATGACACCTTAGGCCCACAGGAAGTGGAATGAATGAACCTGTGTAGCATTCTATCCAGGGGTTGTGGGGGTGGAGCCCTGACCCCCTAGGCCCACAGGAAGTGGGATGCATGACCCTGTGCATTCTATCCAGGGGTGGGGGGGTGGAGCCATGACACCTTAGGCCCACAGGAAGTGGAATGAATGAACCTGTGTAGCATTCTATCCAGGGGTTGTGGGGGTGGAGCCCTGACCCCCTAGGCCCACAGGAAGTGGGATGAATAACCCTGTGCGTCATTCTATCCAGGGGTAGGGTGGGTGGAGCCCTGACACCCTGGGCTCACCTGAAGTCGGATGAATTACCCTGTGCTTCATTCTATCCAGCGGTGAAGCCGTGACACCCTGGGCTCACAGGAAGTGAATGACTCTGTGCATAATTTTATTTGGCGGTGGAGCCATGACACCCTGGGCTCACAGTAAGGGCAACGAATGACCCTGTGTGTCACTGTATCCAGGGGTTGTGGGGGGTGGAGCCATGACACTGTGCGCTCACAGAAAGTAGGATTAAGGACACACAGGAAGTGGGAAGAATGACCCTGTGTGTCATTATATCCAGGGCAGTGCAGAGCCATGAAACCCTGGGCTCACAGGAAGTGGGAAGAATGACCCTGTGCATCATCATATCCGGGGGCGGGAGTGGAGCCATGACACTCTGGGCTCACAGGAAGTAGGATTAATAACCCTGTATACCATTCTCTCCAGGGGTAGGAGCCATGACACCCAGGGCTCATAGGAAGTGGGATGAATGACCCTGCACATAATTCTATTCAGGGGTAGAGCCATGACGCCCTGAGCTCACAGGGGGTGGAATGAATGACCTTGTGTGTCATTATATGTGGGGCAGGGGAGGAGCCATGACACCCTGGGCTCATAAGAAGTGGAATGAATGACCCTGTGCATCATTGCTAGTTCAATAAGCAGAGGACAGACCCAGATATGGGGGAGAGTATATGTATTAAAGCTGCTGAGGGGTTAGAGGGGGGCTTGCTCTTTTTACCCCAGAAGGCTCCCATCCCCCCCTAGGTTACCACTGACACACTAAACCCCTAAATAATTCCCTGCCTGACCTGCTCAGATATACACCATGCAAGCAGTACTACAGTATACAGTGCCGCCATACCTCCCCCACTCTGTACAGGCAATACCGAAGCTCCAACGTGTCCAGCTATGAGGAACAATCCGCCATCTCCAGCACAGCCACAGTCACGTGACCTTATTAGCCCCCTCTACCGGTACATATAGACGTCACGTGACTGGGCTCCAGGGTACGTCGTGTTGCCAGGTGACGCGTTGGGAGGGCGGAGCGATTATGTCGGACATGGGGGAGTCACGTGACCGGCCTCCAGGGTAATGTCGTACTGCCGGGTGACGCATTTAGGGGGCGGGGCGACCGAGGAAGGCCTAGGGCAGATTGTCTGCGGGAATGTCTTGTGTCGCCTGGTGACGCGTGAGGAAGGCGGGACGATCGAGGACGGCTGGCAAAATGGGTCACGTGACTGACCTCCACGGGAAATCTTGTTGCCAGGTGACGCGATCTAGGAGGCGGGAGGGGGGGTGTCACGTGACGGTGTCCTTGGACGTGGGCGAGAGGAGAGTTACAAAAAAAAACTCAGTTATCCGGTATTTACTAACGCTTCTTGTGCTCTGAGGAGGATAGTCCACTGAAGCAGATCGATAACATCTCATAGAATATGTCATTTAAAAGTCAGTTAAAATTGTATTAATTTATATAAAACCCCTGCAAAAGAAGATTCTCACCCGTGTTTCTAGCAAATGCAGCAAAAAGCGAGATTCTGGATTACATGTTTACATGCAATACACGTATAAGGTGAGCTTCTGCATTAAAGTGATCCTGTATCCTAGCAACGAAAGACTGGGCTGGAGCTGCCTGTATCCTAGCAACAAAGGATACTAGGTGGCTCGAGCTGCCTGTATCGTAGTAACAAAGGACACTGGGTGTCTTGAACTGCCTGTATCCTAGCAACAAAGGGCACTGGGTGTCTTGAGCTGCCTCTATCCTAGCAACAAAGGATCCAGGGTGCCTTGAGCTGCCTGCACCCTAGCAACAAAGTATACAGTCGCTCGACCTGCCGGCACCCTAGCAACAAAGGATGTGGGGTGTCTTGAGCTGCCTGCACCCTAGCAACAAAGGATGCAGGGTGTCTTGAGCTGTCTGCGCTCTAGCCACTGTTCTAATTTCTAAAATCTACACCAATACCTGAGAGATGTAAATATTGAAGAAGGGTGACAGCGACGATCAGCACAGCAGAAGGGAGACTAGAGGGGGATGTGCAGTGATTGGGCAGCGAGGTGCAGCAATGCAGGGAGGAGAACATCTAGGATGAAAGCTTAAAGGAGAACTATGGGGATAAGGCTTTTCCCCATAGTTCTCCTTAGGGTAACGGGAGGACACAAACTAGCGTCCTCCCGTCACCCTAGGCTCAGTATACCGCGAGCTACAGCTCACTATATACTGAGACGCTGAAGCGGATCCCGACAATTATCTCTGGATCCGCCCAGCTGCGTGAGTGACAGCTGGCTCTGCCTATCTAGAGGCAGAGCCAGCTGTACCCGTCCGATCCGCTAGTCAGTGCTTGCGGGGAGGGGGGAACCTTGTCCCTCCCCTGCCACGGGAGAGAGCTGTGACAGGATCGAGAGGTGAGCGAACGCCGGTATGTGTTCTCTCACCTCCCGATCTACTGAGCCGACGTGTGACAGTCTCATTGTCACAGGTCGGCTAGAACTATGAGGTGAGTGAAAAGCACTCCCCCCATAGTTCTCCTTTAACATGTTTTTTTTTTGTATTTGAACCGAACGCCCACTAGATGGAACCAAAGTTCTTTATTGCATTTCTGGTTATGTGGGTGAAACTTTATCTTTAGTCTCAGATGAATTGAAAGTAATCCTTTTGCCGAGCTTCAGATATTTAAATATTTTAGTTTTCGTAATGTTGAAAGAATATTTACTATATGGCCAAACATTTGAAGACCTGACCATCACACCGATAGGATCTTGTTTGACCTTCCATTCAAAAACCATGGCCATTGCTATGGAGTTGCTCCTTTGTGGCTGCAACATTCTCCACTCTTCCAGGAAGGCTTTCCACAAGATTTTGGATGGTATCTGGTGGAACGTGTGCCAATTCAAGGAACATTTGGCAAGTCAGATACTGATGTTGTGCGAGAACATCCTGCTCACAATTGGTGTTCCAGTTCATCCCAAAGGTGATCAGTAGGCTTCAGGTCAGGGCCCTGTGCAGGACACACTGTTTCCCAGACACCAAACTGGTCACACCATGTCTTTATGGAGCTTGGACAATACGATTTAGATGTCTCCCCTTTACAGCTATAAAGGCTATTGCTCTTCTGGGAAGGCTTTCCATAAGATTTTGGAGGGTGTCTGTTGGAATTGGTGGCCATTTGTGAGGTCAGGTACTGATGTTGGATGGGAAGACCCGGCTCACAATCATTATTCCAATTCATCCAGGTGTTACAGAAGGTTGAGGTCAGGGCTCTGTGCAGGTCACTGGCGTTCCTCCACACCGAACTGGTCAAGTCATATCTTTCTGGAGCTTGGACAAGAAGTTGGAGCTTCAACAGCTTTTACTATTGTGGGAAGGCTTGCCACAAGATTTTGGAGGGTGTCTGTGGGAATTTGTACCCATTTGTGAGGTCAGGTGCTGATGTTGGATGAGAAGACCTGGCTCTCAGCGTTACAATTCATCCCAAAAGTGTTCAGTTGGGTTGAGGTCAGGCTCTATGAAGGCCACTCAAGTTCCTCCACACCAAAGTGGTCAGGCCATGTCTATGGAGCTGGCTTTGTATACAGGGGACAGTCATGGTGGAACAGAAAAGGGTCTTCACCAAACTGTTACCTCAAGCTTTAAGGTGCCCAATTGTCTAACATGTCTTTGTATGCTGCAGCATTTTTGTTCCTTTACTGCAACCAAAGGGCCAAGGCCAAACCCTAAAGAGCAGCCCCAGACCATTACCTCCCCTCCACCAAACTTTGCAGTAGGCACTATGCAGTCCTAAAAGTGTTCCTATGGAACCACATCAGCCAGATTCATCCATCAATAATGAAGTATGACCTCAGAGAGCCTGTTGCCACCTATCACGAGTCTAAAGGCGGCGTTGCTTTACACCACTCCAGAGTGAACTTAGGCTTATGTGGAACTACTCGGCCATGGCAACCCATTTCCCGAAGCTCCTGTTGCTCAGTTCTCGTGCTGATGTTGCTTTCAGATGCAATTTGGAACTCTGCTGTGAGTGATGCAATGGAGAATAGGCAACTTTTACCAGCTGGGCGCTTCAGCACTTGTCCAGACTTGTATTGTGATTTTGGGTTGTCCACCACTATGGGGTTGAGCTCTTGTTGCTCCCAGACACTTCCACTTTGCAACAATATCACTTACATTTGCCGGGGTGGAGGATCCAGCCGTGCAAATATTGCAAGTATTGACTCCATGACTGCACCGCATTTAATGTCTTTGCGCTCTTTAGCCTGACCTTGCTACTAATGTTCACCAATGAAGACTCAATGGCTGTGTGCCGCGTCATATGACTTTTACCAATGGGTGCAGCTGAAACACCTCAACTGCATAATTCAGAAGGGTTTCTATACTTTTGGCCACATACTGGTAGGTACAGATACTGGTTGATATAGCATATACTGGTACTGACTGAGTGAGTGATCCACTGTATCAGTCCTCTGAACTAGTTATGTCCTTAGACCAGTGGTGGCGAACCGAGGGCACGTGGGGCTCTCTGCTGACACACAAGCCTAGGTTTGGATTAAGATATGAGTGCTCCTAAAGATATGCCCGACCGTCCTGGATCAGCTCGGTATGCGATCCTGGCTGGCCACAATCAGGCAGCGGGAACCCTCTAATAGGGCATATATTAGAGGTCGCTTGCTGGCCTTATAGACCACCTGAAAGCTGCACAGCCCCTACAGCCCACCTAAGAGCCCGCACAGCGTCCCTAAGAGCCACACAGCCCCCAGGAGAGCCCATACAGAGTGCTTCAGAGCCACTCAGCCCATATAGACCATCAAATAGCCCTTATAGACCACCTGAGAGCCGCACAGCCCGCATAAGAGCCCACACAGCGTTCCTGAGAACCGCAGCACCCCCAAGAGCCTGTGCAGATTACCTAAGAGCCTGCAGAAGTTGCAATTGCAGGGTTGGCACTTTGAGACATGAATGATGGTTTAGTGATCCAGTTAGGGCACTCTGGCTCAAAAAGGTATATCATCACTGCCTTAGACCATCCCTTAACCCCCCACCGTATCCCAGGCCCTGGGATAGCTAAATAAATGTATATATACACTATATTGCCAAAAGTATTGGGCCCCTCCCCCTCCAAATCATTGGATTCAGGTATTCCAATCACCTCCATTGCCTCAGGTGTATAAAATCACGCACCTCGGCATGCGACGCTTCTACAAACATTTGTGAAAGAATGGGTCGCTCTCAGGAGTTCAGTTACTACGAGCGTGGTACCGTGATAGGTTGTCACCTGTGCAATAAGTCCATCCGTGACATTTCCTGGCTACTAAATATTCCGCGGTCACCTGTTACTGGGATTATAACAAACTGGAAGCAACTGGGAACAACAGCAACTCAGCCAGGAAGTGGTAGGCCACGTAACATGACAGAGCGGGTCATTTATTATTAACATAATAATGCTTCTAAAACTAATAAATTTTTTGGGCTAAATAAACAGACGGCAATTTAATACTCAGTTTTACTTTCTTCTTTTTTTAAGTGAAAACCAAGCCACACTTTTTGTTAAAAAAAACAAAAACCACAACAAATGCCATTTTCAGTTCTGAAGTTCACATTCAGTTAATTGCCCAATATATACAGTTCATTAAATTATTAATTACAACATGAACGTCCTAGTGAACGAACTGAGGCGGGGGGGGAGGCGGGCGTTCGAGGGACTTGACCTTCAGGGCTTGTAACTGTGGATGGGAGCGGACAACGAGAGCTGGCCATTGGGTGTGATCTCGCTGGCATTGTCCTCCAGGAGTCCGGAGACGTCGGCGTTTGGGATGCTGTCGTGGTAGCTGCTGAAGCTGATGTTGTCCTCTTTCAGTTCGATGGTCCAAAAGGGAGCGTTGAGCTTCCGGTTCTGGTACTCCCTGTAGACGTACACTGCCCCTACGAAACCCATCAACAGGACCACCACGATTAAAATGACTGCCAGGATGATGATGTTGAACTGGGTCCATGACATGTCTGCCATAGCGGAGGTGGTGTTGTTAGGGGGGGAACTCGTCACGTCAGAAGTCTGTAACGTTGTAGATAAACTTTTGCTTAATAAAAGAATTTCCGTCGTCGTGATTGCAGCGTTCGCGCTTGTGACGTACTTGTCCGTCGTAGGGGCGGCAGAGCTTTCTGAAATGATATAGGAAAGGAAGATTAGAAGTCGCCTCCTGACATTCAAGTAGCTGAAACATACTGAGGTCTTCTAACCTCGAGATCACACAAGTTACACAAAATACAACATGCATGATCCCAAAGACGATACAATAAAGTTTGATGAGTTGAGCACTACTTCCTGGGAGATTTTATTGGGCCTTATTGACCAATATGTAGCCATCTTAAACACTGCATTCTAGAGCTGCAGCTAACGATTATTTTCAAAATCGGTTAGCCGATTATTAAGTTCGGTTAATCGGATAAAAAATAAAATTTTAAAAAATGGCTCCAGTGATGGGACTACTAGTTTGTATTGAGTGTAGTCCATCACAGGAGCAAGCTTGGAGCGGGGGAAGTAAAAAAGAAAACAATGCGTGTGGTGCCGTAAACCGGGCCAACCAATCAGAAGCCGATTAAATCGATGATTGAAAAAGTTGACAACTTTTTCAATCATCGATTATGTCGATTAGTTGTTGCAGCCCTACTGCATTCACATTGGTTGGTGCGGAGCCATCCCTGGTCTCCCCCCACCCCACTCCCTACCCTGCTCTTCCTCCCTATTTAATTCTAATATGGATAACTATCTTAAATGCCAGTGGGCACATTCATATTGGTTAGTGTGGATCATTCCCTGGTATACTCCACCCCATTCCCTTCCTTCCTGTTGACTTCCAATATACATGACCACCTTAAATGCCAGTTCACAGGTTTGCATGGGTTAGTGTGCATCCATCCCTGACCTCTCCCACTCTCTTTCCTTCCTATTGACTTCTAATATGGATAACTACCGTGTTTCCCCGAAAGCAAGACCTACCCCGAAAATAAGACCTAGTGTCTTTTTTTGTGAAAAAAAAAATATAAGACACTGTCTTATTTTCGGGGAAACACGGCATGGTGAATGCCAGTTGACGCATTCATATTGGTTGGTACAGATCCATCCCTGGTCTCCCCCACCCAACTCCCTTTCCCTTCTTCCCTAATATGGATAACTATGTTGAATGTCAGTTGACACATTCAAGCCGCTGATGACCGCTATTATCAAAAATACCGGGCGCCGGCATCTGGAGTCTCTCATCCCTCTTATTGACTTCTAATATGGATAACCATGTTGAATGCCAGTTGACACATTCACGTTGGCAGGGATCCATCCTTGGTCTACCCCACCCTACTACCTTCCTCCCTATTGACTTCTAATATAACCATCTTAAATGCCAGTTGACACAGTAGCATGGCTTGATGTGGATTCATCCCGGATCTCACCCACCCCACTCCCTTTCCCTTCATTGCTATTGACTTTGAATATGGTTAACTAAGTTGAATGCCAGTTGACACATTCACATTGGTTGGTGTAGATCCATCCCTGGTCTCCCCCATATCACTTCCTTCCCAGCTCTCCTCGCGAGACAGGGAGGGAGACAGGGGGGTAATCGTAATAAATATTAGCTGGGGGATCTGCAGAGACAAATATCAGGAAACCGATCGGCGATATAAATCAAACTTGCTGCATTCATGAGGTTTATATATAGAAACAGACCTACGTTGTCTTCTAAACAATGACAAAGATGAAATGGAATGCAGGTCGGCGGGTCAGTGCTTATAGTTACATTTAATGTACAGGTTACTGGAAGGGAGGATATAAAATGCAGATCATCAGTGAGAGAAGAATATAAATGCAATGTATCATATGAAGCGTGGCATGTAGTTGAGGGAAGTTCCGTCTAAGAATGAAGGGGTTAACTTACATTATATACGCCAAAATGGACATCCCTTAAAGTGGCACTACACTCATAAAAATACATTCAAGTCCCTTCACTATGAACAACAATGTCTCTTATTTGTGCATCACTCGGCTGGAGATCCTCCAATCATCTCTGAATTGGTGCCGACATTGTCCTTCCTTCTGGATGGGGGGGAGGGGGGGCTACTTTTGTTCCCCATGATGAGAAGGGAACTCCTTTAAATGGAGACATTTTCTCCAATGAAGGGATTTCCTCTCACTTATCTCAATTTCACTTCCTGTTGCGTCTCTAGGACAGAAAAAAGGCACCAGCAGGTCCTGCCCACATCTCCGGGAACGAGGAGCTGCAGCGCCAGGGCAGCAACATTACCCCACCAGGACTTGGCGTCTGGTGTCGCCACTCAAAGTGAAGCCAGTCTGCCGCATACTCAACAGGGGCGTTCCATTACAGCCATTGGAAGGGAACCACAGCAGTCCAGGCTGGTCCAACAAAGGAATAAAAGTCACCTCCCAGTAGGGGGGGTCCGTCTCAGGCACCAAAACAAAAAAAGGTGGAACTAGAAGTTTTCCTTACCAATAAGTGGAAGGAACTGAGGTGCAAAGATGAAAGAGACTCACACCACTAATGTGGGCGAGACATATGGGGGGTTGGCTGGAGGACCCGCAGATGGGAATCCTGAGCCACCTTCAAGTGTTGAGTCTCCTCTAGATGAAGAAAACACCATCAAGGAGGATGACCTATAAGGAGGTTGGGTTGACAACTGAAGATGGAATCTTGAGCTGAGCCACCTTCCACCAAGTGATGAGTCTGCTTCAGATGGAGAAAACACCATCAATGAGGGTGACACATAAGGAAGTTGGGTGGAGGACTGAAGGTGTGAATCCTGACCTGGGCCTCCTTCCACCAAGCGATGAGTCTCTTCCAGGCGGAGAATTTACCATCAAGGAGGGCGAGACAAAAGCAGGTTGGCTGGAGGACTGCAGATGAGAATCCTGGGCAGAGCATCCTTCCACCAAGTGAGGTCTCCTCCAGACGGAGAAACCACCATCAAATGACCAGTTCTGTAGAAGGACTTTTTAAAGACTTTTTGGGGAAACTTTTCCTGTTCCTGGTAGAGGAGGCAACCATCGCTCATGTACTGTACTGGAAGATGATCTGGGAAAAACCTCATTCTATCCAAAACTAGAAAGTTTTAAGTTTAGATGCACGAAGACACCTGTTCCAACCCAACAAGTTCACCACAACTTCTGAATACGAAAAATTCGTTGTTGGGGGTTTACATACACTATGTATGAGAATCCTGAGCTGAGCCTCCTTCCACCAAGAGATGAGTATCCTCAGGACTAAGAAAACACCAAAGAGGGTGAGACATAAGGTGGTTGGGTGGAGAACTGAAGAAGAGTCCTGAGCTGAGCATCTTTCCACCAAGTGATGAGTCTCTGCCAGAGAAAACACCATAAAAAGGAGGGCAATACATATGGGGGTTGAATGGAGGACCTGCAGATGAGAATCCTGAGCTGAGCCACCTTTCACCAAGCAAGGAGTCTCCTCCAGACAGAGAAATCACCATCAACAAGGGTGAGAGATTATGGGAGTTGGTTGGAGGTCTACAGATGGGAATCTTGAGCTGAGCCTCTTTCCACTGGGGGATGAGTCTCCTCCGGATGGAAAAAATTCCATCAAGGAGGGCAAGACATATGGGGGTTGTCTGGAGTACCTGCAGATGAGAAACCAGACCTGAGCCACCTTCCACCAAGCAATGAGTCTCCTCCAGACAGAGAAAACACTATCAAGGAGGGTAAGACATAAGGGGGTTGAGTGGAGAATCGCAGATGAGAATCCCCGAGATGACCATCCTTCCACCAAGTGAGGAGTCTCCTCCAGATGGAGAAACCACCACAAAGGAGGGCAAGACATATGTGGGTTGAGTGGAGGACCTGCAGATGAGAATCCTGATCTGAGCCAACTTTACCAAGCAATGAGTCTTCTCATGACAGAGAAAACATCAATGATCGGTTCCATGGAAGGACTTTTTAAAGAATTCTTGGTGATGCTTTTCCTGGTAGAGGTGACCATCTCTCATGTGCTGTCCTGGAAGACTATCCGGGAAAAACCTAATTCTATCAAGTTTTAAGCTTAGATATACGAGGACAACTACTCCAATCCAACCCTACAAGTTCACCACAACTTCTAAACATGAGAAATTCATTGTTGATTTACATCCACTATGTATGAGAATCCTGAGCTGAGCCTCCTTCCACCAAGCGATGCGTCTCCTCCGGACTAAGAAAACACCATCAATGAGGGTAAGGTAAAGGAAGATTAGGGGGGGGGGGACCACAAATGAGAATCCTGAACTGAGCCTCCTTCCACCAAGCGATGAGTCTCCCCTGGATGGAAAAAATACCATCAAGGAGGGCAAGACATAAGGAGGTTAGGTTGATGACTGAAGATGGAATCTTGAGCTGTGCCACCTTCCACCAAGCGATGAGACTACTCCCTGGTGGAGAAAATACCATCAAAGAGGGCGAGACATATAGGGGGTTGAGTAAAAGGACCCGCAGATGAGAATCCTGAGCCACCTTCCACCAAGAGAGGAGTCTCCTCAGGACTAAGATAACACTATCAAGGAAGGCGGGACATAAGGTGGTTGGGTGGAAAACTGAAGATGAGAATCCTGAGCTGAGCCTCCTTCCACCAAGTGAGGAGTCTCCTCCAGATGGAGAAACCACCACAAAGGAGGGCAAGACATATGGATGTTAAATGGAGGACTTGCAGATGAGAATCCTAAGCTGAGCCACCTTCCACCAAGCAATGAGTCTCCTCCAGACAGAGAAAACACCATCAAGAAGGGGGAAGACATATGGGAGCTGGGTGGAGGTCTCAAGATGGGAATGTTCAGCTGAGCCACCTTCCACCAAGTGATGAGTCTTCTCTGGATGGAGAAAATACTACCAAGGCGGGTGAGAGATAAGATTCCATCTTCAGACCTTAACCCAACCTCCTTTTTGGTAGTATTTTCTCCATCCAGAGGAGACTCATCGTTGGTGGAAGGTGGCTCAGCTCAGGATTCCATTTCAGTCCTCAACCCAACCTCCTTGAGCTGAGCCACCTTCCACCAAGTGATGAGTCTGCTCCGGATGGAGAAAATACCATCGAGGAGGACGAGACCTAAGGGGGTTGAGCGGAGGACCTGCAGATGACAATCCTGAGCCAAGCATCCTTCAACCAAGAGTCTCCTCCAGACGGAGAGAAAACCATCGATGACCAGTTCCGTAGCAGGACTTTAAGACTTTTTGGTGATGCTTTTCCTGTTCCTGGTAGAGGAGGTGACCATCTCTCATGTACTGTCCTGGAAGACTATCGGGGAAAAACCTCATTCTATCCAAAACTAGAAAGTTTTAGGTTTAGATGCACGAAGACACCTGTTCCAACCCAACAAGTTCACCACAACTTCTGAATATGAGAAGTTCATTGGGTGGGTTTACTATGAATGAGAATCCTGAGCTGAGAGTCCTTCCACCAAGCGATGAGTCTCCTCCGGACTAAGATAACACCATCAAGGGGGATGAGACATAAGGAGGTTGGGTTGAGGACTGAAGATGAGAATCCCGAGCTAAGCCTCCTTCCACCAAACGAAGAGTCGGCTTTGGATGGAGAAAACACCATCAAGGAGGCTGAGACATATGGAGGTCGGGTAGAGGACCACACAACCAACCCGAGCTGAGCCTCCTTCCACCAAGCGATGAGTCTCCTCAGGACTAAGACAACACCATGAATGAGGCTGAGACATATGAGGGTTGGGTGGAGGACCAGAGATGAGAACCCTGACCTAAGCCTCCTTCCACCAAGCAATGTCTTCTCCAGATGGAGAAAACACCAATGATGCCGAGACATGTGGGTTGGGTGGAGGACCAGAGATGAGAATCCTGAGCTGAGCCGCCTTCCACCAAGCGAGGAGTCTCCTCAGGACTGAGATAACACCATCAATGGGGCTGAGGACCACAGATGGTGGTTGGGCAGAGGACCACAGATGGGAACCTCAAGCTGAGTCTCCTTCCACCAAGCAACAAGTCTCCTCCGGATGGAGAAACAACCATCAAGGAGGCTGAGAGACAGGTTTGGGGATCACGTATACAATTACGCTCCATAAGACGAGGTAGCCTTCTCACCGCTGATCCAAGATGGTGGCACAGGAAGAGAGCGGCGCTCTTCTGATGGGAGACAATGATGGACTCCAAAGACTTGTAAGGGAAATCTCTGGACCAGCCTCCAAATCGTATACATGGGGGACTTGGGCTTCAACGCTGTGCAGTCACATATACTTGCAAGGTCGGTGGTGCTTTTCTGCACCAGTAGCACGCTCAGGTGTGCACCCTGTGACCGCCATTTATGATGGGCTCCCGGTCATGTGACCACAGTGATCACGTGACTGGGAGCGCACCTACTCGGTGTTAAAGGGGAAGAAACGTGCAATCAGCCCAGCTCTGTACTACAATAATATTAACCCCCAAATCAGATGGTACAGTGTATGGGCAGATGAACAATTAATGGAGGAAAAA